GGAGATTGTGGTTAAATCTAAAATGAAACAGAGAAAATTAATATGCTGTAATTTTAAACTTTTTAAAACTAATTGTTGTGGGTTTGTGAAACGATGTGCTTAAAGAAATATTTGGCCTACTTCGGTGCAAGGATCCTAAGGCCAAACTGCTTCCAGGAACAGCAGTACGGTACTCTGGTGTGTACCAACCTAGTATTGTCATGATCTCCTTGATCTATAAGACCTTTCGGTCAAGGCAAAGACCTCCTCGATCTCAGAACCTTTTGGTTCAAAATCTTTTGGTTTCAGGGAAAGTTCCTTCGGGCACAGTTTCTGCAGTAGCAGCACAACAGCTCAATATATTTTGTGTGTACAAGAGCTCTCACGTTCATGTGTACAGGAGCTGCCCCAAGGGGTACTATTTATAGGCCTCTAAGGCCAGCTCAAGAGGCACCTACAATTAATGTGACTGATATAAATCATAATGACAATTATAATTGTAACATTAATTGATTTAAATGCTGTTGTAACTGTTGTATGCAGTAACGCCTGAAGGCGAGGCAATAAATGGACGCGTTACTTCATAACGCGAGGTCGAGTCTCAGCAAATCAAGCGAACAACGTCAATAGGACGAACCTCATGCAAAGTGCGCCTAACAAAGCGTCACTTAGCATCTCAGTCCGATTAACTCCGATCCCCGACCCATTGGCCCACGGCCCACAACCCACAGGCCACGAGCCCATGACCCACGACCCACTAGAATTTATGATGGATTAATTAAAACAAAATATTTCTCGGCTTGCCGTTGGTAAGCCTCGAACAGAGGACCTTTTGAAACACCAAAACTTTAACTTTCCACTAGCCTACTAAGCATTTATAAAAAATACTAGTAGTACATTGTGTTATGGTGTCGTTGTTTCAATCATTGTGCATAAGGTAGATGTCGCAAGGACTTGAATCCCCTTTATACCAACTGAATAAAAGATAAGTGCATGGTGTCGTAGAGACTTGAACCATCACATATCTAAAATCCAGCGATTATACAAGATCAAACTCTTCTGTGGTAGTTTTCACTTTGAACCACACTAGCCTTTGCCTTTGCTCAGCACATTTATGGCTCTATGCATGTCCTGGTTTCTGCTAGGGCTCTAGGTATCTTTCCACAAGACACCATAGGAGATGGTAAAATCTCCACCCAGGTATAGGTGAGTTCTTTAGGCATGTTTCGTACCAAACATCCTGCATCCGAGATGCTTTGAACTCATTAAGGCTTAAGAGCCATCCTCTCTCATGATAGGATTCTAGTTGAGTCATTTAGGCGTGTTTTCTATCTAACACCCCGCATCCGAAATGCTTTGGACTCATTAAGGCTTAACGACCAATCTCTTTACATGATGGGATCATCGGTGAGTCCTATAAGTATGTTACCTATCCAACATCCCGCATCCGAAATATTTTAGACTCATTAAGGCTTAACAGTCATTCTCTTTACCATGATAGGATTTCAGTTGCAAATCTTACTTGACTTTTGAACCAATCATCTTATCATTAGTAGTGTAAGCTTTAAACTAATGACTTGATGTCAATGGTAAGTATTTGTAAGGCTCACAAAACTTTTGTAAATCTTACTCGACTTTGAACCAATCATCTTGTCATTAGTAGCGTAAGCTTTGAACTAATAACTTGATGTAAATGGTAAGTGTTTATAATACTCACAAAACTTTGAGACCCGTTCCAGCAGATGTTCTTTCGATTATGTCCTTTTTCAGACCTTTAGTCAAAGGATCAGCTACATTCTCTGAAGACCGGATATCAATCATAGAGATGACTCCTTGGCAGATGAGTTCTCTCAAATAGTCATGCTTCAGACGAATAGTCCGCTTCTTTCCATTGAACAACGATTTCACTGCCACAACACTCATCGCATGATATCACAATAGATAGTAATTGTATAAAGCACACAAGGGCCATGAGCCCAGTATTTAAGACAGTACTATCACATTTTTGCTTTTGTAGTTACTTGTTTTTTTTTTCTCACTCCAAAAAGCCAACTTTCCTAATAGCCCAGTATTTAGTAGCTTATCTTTATGATGGTTAAAATTTTCAGTCAGTACCCTATCAATTCATTTCACTTGCTCGAGTTGATAGAATGCTTTTATGATGGTTAAAATTTTCAGTCAGTACCCTATCAATTCATTTCACTTGCTCGAGTTGATAGAATGCTCTATATCCCTTCATGGTGAAAAATTCAACTGCAGTGATGTTAGTAAGAAAGTTTGAACTTTTTCATATCTTAGTTTCTAATCTGATGCACGATCATGCCTTGTTGTAGTTCCTTTATTTCATTTTAGGTGACACCCTTAATTTCTTTTTAAAAGGACCAATTAATCAAGTCATATATACGGTTACACTTTTCTGTTTTAAAGGCATCCAGATTCTTTAAAAACCCTTGTTAATGTCCAAAGTCCTTAACAATGTTACATCATCAGATGGGTTGATATCTTAATAAAAGCCACACAAAGTTGATCTTTAATCAGTTATGTTTTGATCCTTTTTTCATCATATATTTGACAATCAATCATCTATTAAAGTTGATCTTTAATCAGTTATGTTTTGATCCTTTTTTCATCATATATTTGACAATCAATCATCTATTACTTTTTTGTTTTCTACAACCTGCCGGAAGATTTCATGAATTGCAGGTTGCTGGGGGATGCTCATTTGATGAAGAACAAAACTAGCAATGAGACAAGATTTTATGGTATTTGCTAAGATTGCTTTCGTAGGAAATGTATTAGCTTGATTTTGAATTTTATTGTGTTTCTGACCGGTAAAATTTGAGGGCATCTTTTTTAACCGCATGAGTTTAAACTGTGCGAGGACTTGGCTCATGATTTTGATGAGAAAATTGTTCTAGGTTCTGCAATGATAGCCGGAAGCTTGTACATTGAAGATAAACTTCATTTTGATTTATCTAATGGATGTTCTCCTAGTATATTTGTTCTTTGTGTAGATATCCTTCATACCGTGTAAAAAAATGTTCAAGGCTGAATCATGAAGTGTTGGAGGTCCACCGCATTAGCAAATGCGCGTAGTTCTACCTACAATAGTTGGAAGGTGTAATGTGATTTCCGGAAAAAACTTGCTTTGGATAGTACATAACAAATCATTAAAATAATGAAACATTAATGAATGCTTATAATTTCCCTATAATTCTTAAGAGTAAATAGATTTGGTGTACGTGTCACTATACGTTCTTAGTTGGTATTCACTTATATGACACATATTTAGACTTTAACGGAAATATATCCAGCTCATAAGTTTATCATCAGTTTATCATATTGAAACTTCGTCTTACAGGGTAAATAAGGTTTTACGTACATCAAATATGACGTATGATTAGATCTATCAGCTAACAAGTTTTGTACTTTTGGAAATTTAAAAAAATAAAAAAAACTGGGACGGCCTGGAGTTCGGCCTGGTTCGACCCAAACCGGGGCTTGGTCCGAGCACCCCGGGTCCCGGTCCAGGCCACCCGTTTTGCCCAGCCCGAACCTGGATTTCCAGGCCTGGCCGAGCCAGCTAGAATGGACAGCTCTAAAGGCCGCGAGATTGTTGAAAACGAAAAGGGCTAATTGTCCACTTTGGAACATACTAGTTTGATTTTGATATAAGATTCCTGGATGAATTTCTTTCCTTAAGAATCTCATTAGTTTCATCCACGTATAGTAGTTGTGAAAATTTCATCCAGAATAAAATAGTCAACAAAATTCACCTATGGCATCTATCCATCATAATTAAGCTACAGACAGATATGAGATTACAGCTCATTTAGCAAAATCAGCTCTTAGAGATAGTCATGTGGTGATGCTCACTCTGCTTGTCACCTTGTAAAATGTTGGTCTCATCTCTCTCTCTCTCTCTCTTATATATATATATATATATATATATATAT